TCATGATCATACATCAAGAGGATAATAATCCCTTGTTGTGTATGCTGCTAACTATATCTCCCTGTAATATTCCACCTGGACAAAAGTGGGGCACACATTAGGTCTCCATAGATTTTAAAGCTTCCTGGCCCTCTTACACTTGGATTTCTAGAGAGTAAATCTAGTTCCAACTGAGGACGAGCAGAAATAGGTGATGATATAGCTACAGAAATAGGGCATTGACAATAAAGAAGCACAACATAGCAGATGGACACTTGGAAACACCTAGGATGCTGAGAGGAGAAGTGACTCTATTGAGCACCTTCAGTATCATTCTATCACAAGTCTCTGAAGAAAAACACCCCAGTGTATCTCTCTCAAAGAGATGCAAATACAAATACATAGAGCTGTGGCTACAAGGAATGATGGGGGAAATAACAAAAATCCCTTAAAATATATTTCCCATAGAGTTTTTTATTTTGATAAATACAGAATCAAAAAACAGGATATGGCAAGAATGCTAGAAATGCCTTGAATCAAAAACTAGAGGCCAAAGTAGATTTTAAAAATTGTGTGTTAAATGTGCATTAAAAATGTAGAATCTGCTGGGTGTTGCTGGTGCATGCCTTTATTCCCAGCACTTGGGAGGCAGAGGCAGAGGATTTCTGTGAGTTCGAGACCAGCCTGGTCTACAAGAACTAGTTCCAGGACATCCACCAAAGCCACAGAGAAACCCTGTCTCAAAAAACAAACAAACAAACAAAAAAAGAAAGAAAGAAAGGAAAACAAAAACCCTGGCAGTATGGAAGTAAACTTCAGAGTTATGAGCAGAAGTGTTGTCAGGGGTGGGATCCAGACTCCCTGGATGTGGGTGTCAGTGAGGAGGCCTCGGCAATCTATGAGGCCTCTGGTAGTAGATCAGTATTTATCCCTGGTGTCCAAACGGACTTAGGGAGCCCATTCAACATTCCATGTGGGGGGATGCTTTCTCAGCCTAGACACACAGGGGAGGGCCTAAGCCCTGCTGCAAATGATATGACAGACTTTGGAGATCCCCCATGGAAAGCCTCACCCTCCCTGGGAGTGGAGGGAGGATGAAGTAAGGGGGATGGTGGGGATGGGGGAGGAGGTGAGGGAGCTGGGATTGACATGTGAAGCAGGCTTGTTTCTAATTTAATAACTTAAATAAAAATAAATTAAAAAAAACAAATACCTTACATGAATTTCTTGTCTGCCATACCTACTATATGCTCCATTCACAATTTTCTGGCTATTCCCTCCAGACTTACTGAAGTAGGGGATGGTCCCAGCTCCTATCCCATTATTAACCAATACCCTTGTTCCCAAGGATGTCACTCAGTTATCTCATGGGGCCATAAATGCCACCCCATTTGTGAAACAGGCAAGTAGAAAAGCTGGACTGACTGTCCATCTTGAAAATGAAAGGACACAGTTATTTGGGATAGGTTGAAACTCCTAAATTCTATTAGCCATCAAAGAGGCTCCTAGGCTCCTTTCAAGGCACAGTCAGGTTATGTTTCCCAACTGATGTGGGCCTTACTTAGTGTCTCCAACAACTGTATATAATAAAAAATTCCAAAGACACCCTGCACACCACTGAGACCATAGTGTAGAAACCAGAAGTTAACTTGCTTGTCTCCTAGAAACATGACTTTACCATTAGGAATGGTCATAAAAAAATCTTCAATTTCATGAAAACATCCCCAATAGATCATTCAGCCTCTAGAGAACTATAAGAAGCTTTTCTAAATGAGTAAACAACCTACTTGTTATGCACACTCATCTTGTGCAGTCATTTAGTTATTAAAGGTGTTATAAATATGTCTCTGCCTTCAACTACACGGCCCCATGTCTAAAGACATTCAAATTAATACAAAATCATCCTCTGTACATTATTATAGAAAACATAACTACCCTATAATTCATACTGGAGGGCAAAAGCTGCACAACCATTAATACATCCTGTTGTGAATTATCCTGTTAGATTGCCATATCTTAGATTAAAATGGTAAGTATTATTGAAGTGGACACATTGATCACAGATCCTATGTAGAAAAAAAGGGGGAAATACATTAATACATTAGGTCTCTGTGCAAGTTTTTCTTTCTTTCTTTCTTTTTTTTTTTTTTTTTTTGCGGGGGAGGGGGTAATTGAGGGTAATTATTAACCCTATTCTGCTTGAATCCTCTGGCAGAAACATCCTTCTGTTAGTGGAAAGGTCCCTGGCTGAGCAGAACTGCCACCACAAAGGCAAGAAAGACATTATTTTCTGCTCTGAAGTAGAACCTAATGGTTTATGACATATTTATGCTTAGCTAGGTACGTCTGGAATTGGCATATGGTTAAGGATAATGATGCAAACAAGATTCATCTTGCTGCTTCATATCCTATTGACACAAGCTTCATTTCAATGATGTATGGAGAAAAATGGACAAGGCTTCATCCTAGCCTCAGGCAGTCACACTAAGCAGCATGATGGATGGAATTTGCTGAAAATTTATCAGAAGCCAAGATGAGAAAGAAAAAGCAGTTTAGATGTGACTAGGAGATAATTCTCTTTTGTCTTCTTACACTTCTTCACATTCTATTAAGAAAACACTGGTTTATTTTTGTTTCATACTAACTTTTTAAAGAATGGTGATGAAAGTGGCAAAAATTCATTAGATAAAGTGCGAACCTATCAAACAATATAAAAATAGGAAAGTATGTTTGTATAGAAAGCAACTGTCAAGGTTAAAGTATTTTCCTCTTCTCCAGCAAATACCAGGCATGCCTACTTGTCTTGGAAATGTCTTCTCCCTCTGAAGCAGTGGACAGCATCTTATCTACAAAGGACAGGCATGCTTCTGCTCATGCTCAATGAAATTCACATTCTCAAAGCTTAGGAGAGAAAACATGTTATCATTTCCTCCACACATGACTGTGGGGACTGGGGATTGGGGGCTGGTATGGGTACTATTGTTCTGCCCAGGACATCTCTGCAAGTTCTAAACTGTCTTCGGTTTTCTGTCTTCTAAAGCACACATGACACTATCGTAGACTCACTTGTTCACTAGCAAATGAGGCAAAACTTTAATTTCTGGTCACTACTGTATACTTGCTATGCCACAGCAATTATGCCCTCCATAAAAATCTCGAATTAATAGCAGAAAATGCAATAGAAATGTAATTTATTTATTTATTCTTAAATGGTTTCCTATATTTACATACCTAAACTCAGAGAGTGAAGGGTTACTAAGTCATGCCTACAAGTATACTTTATTTTCATGTATTTCTGTGTCCATGTATGCTTGCATGTGTGTGGGCCTACATGTGTAGTTGTGTACATACTGAGGCCCAATGTTGATATCAGAAATTATCCTGATGGCTCTTCCATCTTACTCAATGAGGCAGGGTCTTGCTATCAAACCTAGAGCTCACAGACATGGCTCACCTTGCTAGGCAGTTTGCTCAGGGGATCCATCTCTACCTTCTGAGGCTGTAACACAGATGGAGCACCATACCCATTTGGCATTCACCTGTGTCCTAGAGATGCAAACTCTAGTCCTATGTATCACTGCAAGTGCTTCAACCACTGGGCTATCATTCCAGTCCATGTCATCATCTGTTATCTGAATATCTGTTGCAAATCATTTTAAATGCACTTTCTTCCTTACTTCTCATGATATTTCTTTTTATTTTGGTTGGTAAGTTGGAAATTCTTATCTCCTATCTCATTAGTGAAGAACGTCGGAGAAATGTGATTTGTATATATTTGTATCTATCTGTCATTACAAAGCCAATAATGTGATGACATCCAACATGACACCATGAACATCTGGCCAATTATGTAATTTTTTATAGAAAAACAATCATAAAATACACACAAAGGTATAGGTAAATATAAGATCTTTTATTAACCAAACTTTGTTTTTAAGATTATAAAATGATACATGATCTTTGTGAAAACTTGAGAATTACTAAAATGTTTTACTTAAAGATCCTCATTAGATTCTAATTCCCACAGCAGCTACTGTTAACAGCATATTATGCAAATAATGGTATATATGTTTACCTTATAGAATTTTATTTTGGTTTTTTGAGACAGGGTCTTTCTGTATTGCTTTGGAGGCTGTCCTGGAACTCCCTCTGTAGACCAGGCTGGCCTCGAACTCACAGAGATTCGCCTACCTCTGCCTTCTGAGTGCTGGGATTAAAGGCATGCGCCACCAACACCCAGCACCTTATAGAATTATTATAGCTTACTTATTTTCATCTTAATTTGCACTTGTCTTATAAGCACACCTCAATTTTTTAATTTTCATTTTTCAAAACATAACATTTCTCCCTTCCCTTTCTTCCCTTTAAACCAACCATGTACAACCACTCACACTTTAAAATTCATGGCCCCTATTTTTCATTAATTGTTGTTACACATATATACTTAAATTTCTAAAAATAACCTACTCAGTCTGTATGATGTTACTTGTATTTAAGTTTTCAGGGCTGACCATTTGGTATTGGATCACCAGTTGGTATGCTAGAGAAGACTATTTCTCCTGTTCTCAGCTATTCTTAGTAACCTGTAGTTCTTTGTCAATTAAAACAACATTTTGATATTTTACTATAGTTCTGGTTACTTAAAACAATTCTTAAATTTAAAGATATTTTGATCATATTCTTTCCTCCCCCAAGTCCTTCCAGATCTTTTCTCCCTCCCTACCCACCCAAAATTAAGTTCTTTCTCACACACAAAAAAAAACATATTGAATCATTTTGATACAGAAATATTTTCACCTAATTCTCATGGAGGCTGTACTTGTGATTTCTACTTTGTTAACCCAGAAATACTGCATTCAGTTATTAATCAAATACAATAAACTTCTAAGAGTACTTCTGCTGAGTAAATAGTAGTGAGGTACAAATGTACTGAAAGGCAGAGCTTGCATGAATAGTGTTAGGTCAGTGTGGCCCCCAAAGTACAAATACTCAGTAACTCCAGGTTAAAAGTCGGCTCTCACCTTTGTAGCCAAAGATTTAAGTTTTCCCAAAAGTGATTGTTTGTTGGAATATACAACATCCTCTTCATTATCTTCACCTTCCATGATAGCACAGCTGTCTGCCGCTGGGAGTTCACATTCTTTTGAGTTAGTCGTCATTACTAATTTAGAATATTTGTATTCCAGCCTAAGCAATGTAAATAAATAAGTAAAAAACAAGCTAGCTATTTATAGAAATAATACAATTATATTTATTATAAATATTCATATATCAACTTCTAAAATATTCCTGATAATCCTGTATAGTTTTTCCAGCAGCAAATTTCCCTCTCCTGTGGCTGCAGCTTTAAATGTTCTTACTTATCAACCATCTATATAAAAATAATCTCCACGATGTTGGAGAATCAGTTTGATACACTTAATTGACCACTTATTTTACATTGACCTCACTATCCAATTATAAGAATGTTTGTGAAACAAAGAAAAACCTTGAGGTCAGAACACATTTCCTCAGTGTATTAATATGTCAATACCAATTCCCTATCACATTTTCTCAAGTTTAGATCACAAAGGTGAGACTGTCAAGATGATTTGCTTCTCACTGTATCTCTATTTCATTTGTACTTTTGCTCTTATGAATTTAGATGCTATAATTACTTTTAGAAATTAGAGCACAGATACCCCACAGTCCACTATGTTATATGTCATCCCAAAGATTCAAACATGTAACAGACACACGTAAGGTTCTCAACATTCAGAACCAGCATCTGTTCCTTTGAAACCGTCTTTGGACAAGAAACATAATGGGAAAGATGGAAGAAGTCAGATTGTGTCAGGTAAAGAAAAGTAGATCCACCTTCTGGTCTCATCCCTGCTCCTATCTGGGTAACTTAGAGACCTTTTTCATTTTTATAACAAATGACTAATTCAGGAGTCAGTAATGTTCCATCCACTTTCATTTATCAAACTAATAATCATTTATTCTCCATTTCTCACCAGAAGAAATGTCTTGTGGCACTGAGGGAATGGACAGCATATAATACTTAGGTCTGACATTCTCACAGCATAAGCAGACTTTCCAGTTCTTATAAGAGCATCTCAAAGAGATTACTTACTTTTGATTCTTTTTCCAAAAGTAGCATGTTAAAGCCACCAACAAAACGGCTGTGAATGCACCTGCACCAGCTCCCACTTTCAGCCAAAAGTCAACTGTTTCACAGGTTGACACCTTCTTCTCAGGCAAAGTAATCCCTTTAATGCACCACTTAGGTTCGTTCCACACATATAATGTTTCCTTTTCAAACACATAAATGAGACCATAGATGAGATTAGAAATGATTGAACTGTAAACACTGGAATTGGTACTGGAGCAACTCATCACATAGAAGAAAGAGTTTTGCTAATTTATGCTTATCATAAGCATACAGGATATTTCCTGCTCAGTTAATATTAAATAATGTCTAGGAAGAAAGGAAAGAGACATATAAAATAAGTAAATAATGAAGTAAATGCAAAAATCAAACAAAGACATGCACTGTCACATCAGAGGGATATATTACATGCTGAAGAAGTTGAATGGAAATAATTCCACTTTGACACTTTGTTTGGCCTGTTTTCCTCAAATTTTGATGACTTCAGGGTCATCACTACCTATACCAAGCATTCTCCCCCACCCAAAGTAGATGATTTGATTCCTAAAGCAATGCCAATGTGCCCTAAATAGCAAGTGGCAATTAACCAGTGAACAATAAAGCAGATACATTTGGTCTTACCAAGCACTTTGAAAAGTGAGAAAATGAGACATATATAATATGGAAATCAACGTTCAGCCCATTCTTCCTTCTATAGCTTAGTATATAAAACGACCACTAGCTATTTACATGATCATTAATCCAATGACATCACATTTTATGTCCAGCTCACCATTAAATTTTCTGGTATATGATGATCACTTTATCTGTACTCCAACAAAAGGATACAGTCATATTTCACTTTATGTCTTATGTGTATAGACAAATCTCTAACATTAGTTATGGACTAATATATAGGAGAACGGTTTGCAATGAGAAGGTTCAGCCAGGTTTCAAATAACATCATTCAGCAGGTTTTCTTAGAGTTATTTGTGATCCTGTGGTTTTAGTCCATGACAACTGTTATTATTCTTATTGAACAGAACATCAATGAATTACTTGTGAAATAGGTAACATTTTTATAAGAATGGAAAGTGGGAAATGCAGAGGCACACTTAGGTTCACCACTACCTAAATGTAAACCAGAGTAAAAGTAAACTCTAGCATGTGTGGACCTCAGCTGAAATACATTTTACCAACACCAACAAAGGTTGGGATAAAAGCCTAGACAATTTTATCAAATGTGTATAAATGAACAATGTATTTAAAAGCTCCATTGTCTAGTGGCATATTCTAAGCATCTCAAAAGCTCAAAATTATAGTGATATGTACAAACCCAAAATGCCAAACTATTCAATCACCTCCTCAGATACTGTCAAGGAAGAACATAACTGGGGAAAAGTTCTTAGTCACTCTGGAACTATTCATTAGAAAGCCTGACCCAATCATCTGATCAGGTATCACCAGGAACAGAAAGACAGCTGACACAGCAGCTGAACGGCTCCTTCTGCCAGCATGAAGGAAGATTTTGGAACAGGATTAAGATAAATTGGGTGATAAATTCAAAAACATTTCTCTTACTGATACACTGTATCACTTCAAATCTTTATTACTGCACAATGTTAGATATGCTTAACACAGAGTTAGAACCTGGTATAGACTTTTAAGATCTCAATTTGATAAGAGTACTTCTCCCACAAGCCATGAAGACTTTTTGCTTCTATCAGCTATGTGTAAAGGACTTACATTCTGTAAACTATACATATCTGTATTTGAAATACTTACAGAATAGTGGAAGTGCATGCCCAGTCAACACAAAGTGGAAAACTGAAAAGAATAGGGAAGGAAATAGGACTGAAACAGTCCTTAAAAATAAATGCTTAGACTTTTCAAAGATACACACTGAAGTATTTTTTGCAATCATTGTTTTTGTTCAACTTGTTTTAGCATTCAAACAAATATATTTATTCATGGACATGGAATAGCAGTTGATATCTGTTCATGATGCCTGTAGAGGTTAGTCCTTACCTGAAGTCCTCTCTTGCAGGCTCCCTCAATTTCATGGAAGTCATGCTCTGTGCATAGAGGGCAAGCCTCTGCACTCTCCCATAAAAAGTAGAATGCACAACCATCACAGGTGCCAGCTGGACACTTGCTGAAACGTTAAAGAAAGAGCAGCCTTTTCAATGCATTCAATCCCTCCATTCAATACTGCACATCCCAAAGCATACTGGGGAAGGTTGTGTTGATGCTAAGCAAACACTTGTAAGAAACACAAAACAGCCAAAGGAGCTGAGACCACAATGCTAGCACTTCATGTTACCAGTTTGAATGACTTGAATAAAACAGACAAATAATACCAATCACAAGGAAGATGTGAAGAAAAGGGGCACCCTCATACATTGCAGACAGGAATGTGAACAGCCCCTGTACTTTCAGACAAGTCTTTCATTTCTCAAAAAACTAAACATGAATGTATCATATAATCAGACAAGTCTACTCATAGTTATAACCCCAAGAGAAGCCAAATATATTCCACACAAAGGTTGGTAATGAATCTGCACAGCAACAAAACACAGAATGACCAATAGTGGGAACACCCAAAATGTACAGTGGATGAGTGGATATGTGAATTGTCTGATGGACATCTACTTGGCTACATAAAGGAATGCAGTAATGATATATGCCATAATTTTGATGAAGTGTGTAAATACTATGCTAAGTGGGAAAGCAGAAATAATACATATTACATGACACTATCCATATGAAAGTCTAGAATAGGGACAGAGAACAGATGATTTGTTACTTAGGGCTTAGAAGAGGGTTAGTATATAGAAGGATGAGAATCAAGGGGTTCAAAGATTCTTTGAGAAATGATGAAAATTATTGAAAATTGGTTGTGGTCATGACAACATGACCATATGACCAATATATATTTCTATTAAGAACCTTAAGAATCTGAAGAATTATTGAGTGTGTGTGTGTGTGTGTGTGTGTGTGTGTGTGTGTGTGTGTGTGTGTGTGTTTGTTCTCTCCTACTATATTCATTTCATGAATCAAACACAGATCATCAGAATTGGCCACCAGACTGGTGCCTTTATCCACTGAGCCATCTCACAGGCCCCACATTGTTTTCTCTGAGACTTTTGAAGACAGACAGATAGTTACCAAATGAAAAGCTTCTGGGAATGTTTCTTGGAAGAGCATCTAAACTGAGTCAAGAACACTTAGGAGGAATAAGACAGAAGGAAGTAAAGAACTTCCTACCTAAGGGGTAGAATGGCATAATGAATTGATAGAAAATCACTTGTCAGTCACTCTTGCTTGACCATCGAGGGCAAAACAATAAGGATAACCAGAAGACAAAGCCCTAAGCCTCAGATGCCAAGTGGATTATAGTTCCTACCGAAGACAAGATACCCAAGAGAGGTAACTTTGGGAGAGAACCAGAGTCTATTACAGCAGGAAAACAAAAATTTCTTAAGTGAACCATCTAAGCATAAAGTCAACACAACACTCTGTGTTCCAATACAAGCCTGGGTCTCTCCAGACTGATGATGACTTAAAGGAGTGGTGATGCAGAGGAGGGACACAGTAGATGTGGAGTAGATTGCACAAAGCAATCACAGGAGGAACCTAAATGGATAATTTATGGATCTCTGCTTTCTGATGTGTGAGCCAACTTCAACTTGCTTCTTTGACTACAGAACAGATAAACAGCATTGACTGTAAATTAATCTGCTATTGCTGTATATTACCTGACTGAGCCAGAATATCTGAAAAGGTTCTGGTACAAACAGCTAATTTTTTGAGAATGTGTAAAATCTAGAGACTATTGTCCTAATGTGTCTATTTAACTTCTAGTCCCTTTAAATCAGTCCATGTGACTAGAGGGTTTCCCTGCAGTTCCTTCAGACCATGGCTAAAGCTGAGCATGGGTCTCCTGAATACCCATTAGCTAAAAGACAGACACAAACAATAAGAATAAAAGCATATGCTCCCTTCTAAAGGTGCTAACATAAAAGTTATTGTTATATTAACTTTACATATCAATGGGTTTCATAAAGATATTCCAATACAATAATATCATTCACTTTGATCATATCCCCCTCACCTTCCATTTTCACCCACTCCAAATATTCTTTCATTCCCCAGTGGTCTAACTTCTCCTTTCTCGTCATCCGTCTCTATAACTTTATCTACTTAAAGTTTATAATCTAGAAATAAGAGAAAACATCGAATGTTTATGCTTGAATCTGACTGATTTTGCTTTGAAAGATAACCTCCAATTGTAGCCATTTTCCTACAAACAGCTTAATTCTGTTCTTCTTTATGGTTGAATCAAACTCCAATGTGTACATGCATTATATAGTATGTATGATGTATTGATCTTGGATATTGCATATAACACTCCAATAAATTTAGGTGTATAAATATCTCTTTGGTACATTAACTGACAGCTATTAAGGTGTACACCCTGAAGTTGTATAGTTGAGTCATGTGACAGTTATATCTTTAGTTTGAGGAACCTCCACAATGATTTCAATAGTCACTGGACTAATTGATATTCACAGAGAAATGAATAAGGATTCCGTTCTCCATACATCCTTGCTAGCATTAAATGTTAACTTAGTGATAGCTTTCTAACAAGGGCAAGATATAATTTCAATATAGTTTTAACTTACAATTCCCACATGTCATCTTTTATGTACTATTTTTTCCACCTATGAATAATTTATTGTGTGGGTTCATGTGGGTGCACACATGTGTGCATGCATACAAATGTTAGAGGACAACCTCAACCTGGTTCCTCGGGTACCATCCAGCTTACTTTGAGATATGGCAATCCAGTGATTTGCAGCTTTCCACGTAGGCTAGACATTTTGGCTGGTAAGCCCTGGAGATCAGACTGTTTCCACCATCCCAGCAGATATAAACTAGGTGACTGAATTCCCTGGTTTCATCAAAGACAGACTTTACTTCAGAATAAATCCCTACCCATCAAGTCTATCTCCAGTCTCTAGGTTTTGTATGGTCTACTTTCCCCAGATAGAGTTTAATGCCTAAGACTCTGATATGGCCAACACATTTAACTAGATGGCTGCATGTTCTATTTTTCTCCATTTTTTTATTTAAATTAGAAACAAGATTGTTTGTTTTACATGCCAATCCCAGTTCCCTCTTCTTCCCCCGCCAATAACACCCTACCAATCTCATACCATTTCTGCTCCTCAGGGAGAGTGAGGCCTTCCATGGGGGGTCTTCAGAGTCTGTCATATCCTTTGGGATATAGCCTAGGCCCTCCCCCATGTGTCTAGGCTAAGGGAGTATCCCTCTATGTGGAATGGGCTGCCAAAGTCCATTCCTATGCTAGGGATAAGTACTGATCTACTAGAAGAGGCCCCATAGATTTCCGAGACCTCCTCACTGACACCCACATTCATGGGGTCTGGATCAGTCCTATACTGGCTTCCCAGAAATCAGTCTGGGGACCAAGAGCTCCCCTTTTTCAGGTCAGCTGTTTCTGTGGGTTTCACCAGCCTGGTCTTAGCCCCTTTGCTCATCACTCCTCCTTCTCTGCAACTGGATTCCAGTTTAGTTTAGTGTTTAGCTGTGGGTATCTGCTTCTACTTCCATCAGCTGCTGGATGAAGGCTCTAGGATGGCATATAAGTTAGTCATCAATCTCATTATCAGGAGACGGCATTTAAGGTAGCCTGTTGCTTAGATGGTTAGTTGGTGTCATCTTTATAGCTCTCCAGACATTTCCCTAGTGCCTGATTTCTCTTTAAACTTATACTGGCTCCCTCTCTGATGATATCTCTTATTTTGTTCTCCTCTATTCTTCTCCCTACACAATCTTCCTGTTTCATTATGTCCTCCTTAATCCTCCTCTTCTTCCCTTCTCATTCTCCTAGCTCCCTCTCCCCTCCCCCCATGCTCCCAATTTGCTCAGGAGATCTTGTCCCTTTCACCTTCTCCAGTGGACCATGTATGTCTCTCTTAGAATCCTCCTTGTTGCCTAGCTTCTCTAGTGGTGTGGATTGTAGGCTGGTAATCCTTTGCTCTATGTGTAAAATCCATATATGAGTGAGTGCATACCATGTTTGTCTTTTTGTGACTGGGTTACCTTGCTCAGAATGGTTTCTTCTAGTTCCACCCATGTGCCTGCGAATTTCAAGATTCCATTGTTTGTTTCTGCTGAGTAGTACTCCATTGTGTAAATATACCACAATGTTTTCTGTATCCATTCTTCAGTTGAGGGGCATTTAGGTTGCTTCCAGGTTCTGGCTATTACAAATAATGCTGCTATGAACATAGTTGAACAGATGTCCTTGTTGTATTAATGTGCTTCTTTTGGGTATATGCCTAAGAGTGCAATTGCTGGATCTTGAAGTAGACTGATTCCCATTTTCCTGAGGAGTCGCCATACTTATTTCCAAACTGGCTGTACAAGTTTGCACTTCCACCAGCAGTGGAGGACTGTTCCCCTTTTTCTGCATCCTCTCCAGCATAAGTTATCATTGGTGTTTTTTATTTTAGCTATTCTGACAGGAGTAAGAATGGTATCTCAGAGTTGTTTTGATTTGCATTTCCCTGATGACTAAGAATGTTGAGCACTTATGTGTCTTTCAGCCATTTTATATTCCTCTATTGAGAATTTTCTATTTAGTTCTGTACCCCACTTTTTAATTGGATTATTTGGTGTCTGGAAAGTAGCTTCTTGAGTTCTTTTTGAATTTTGGAGATCAGCCCTCTGTGGGATATGGGGTTGTTGAATATCTTTTTCCCATTCTGTGGGCTGGACAGCTGCATATTCTTGTCTTAACGAAAGGCTTGGGCTGCCTTTCTGCCAATCAATTTGAGTGTATATGTTCTACTGAGTTCCAGTTCAGGTTGGTTCCACTGGACTACATGTGTGGTTCTACGATTCTTTGGTGAACCTGTACTTAGTGTGGAGGGGCAGGGTGGTTTTGGCATGTAGAGCTATAGAGTTTTCTCCTCTTCCTGGCAGAGCAGTTAGATTCAAGTTTCTCTTTGGATCCATTCTTACCTTGTCCCAGCATAACAGGCAGTGCGGCGGCCAGCACCACTTGTGCTTAACCATTGCTGGCCTCATGCATCCTGTGTCCCTGTTACCCATATTTATGTTTGC